GCAGCAGCAGCGAGCTGCTGCTGCTGCTGCTGCTCAGCAGCAACTGTAGCAGCAAGAAACTCAAACCCTCGCATGCAAATGGGGGCCCCCAAACCCCGCTGCTGCGACATCTGCAGCAGCAGCAGCTGCGCCTTTTGAGAGAAGTCGCTGGGCACGCAGAGGCAAGTGTTGTCCAGCACTTGCATGAACTGAAACGCAAACCCTAAACCCTAAACCCTAAACCCTAAACCCTAGGCCCTCGAGCTGGCACAGTCAGGCACCAGTTGAGCCAAGCCGGGGCTCGCGGCTCTTGAAGACGCAGCGAGGGTGTAGGGTTTAGGGTTTAGGGTTTAGGGCTTGCATTGCACAGGTGCCCGGCTCCAGGGGTTTTCGCCGAGGGTTTAGGGTTTAGGGTTTAGGGTTTAGGGTTTAGGCTTTAGCCTGACTGCTGAGCTTTGAAAGTAAGCAGTAGGGATTGCGGACTGTTCCATCATGCGCGTCAAAATCTGTGCTGCTATCAGCAGCACCTGCGCCAAGCCTCCAAACCCTAAACCCTATACCCTAAACCCTAAACCCTAGACAGTAGCTATCAGCGTTGAAACCCGAAAACCCAGCTCAAAACCCCTGCCTGAGCCTTTACTACAAGCGCCTACAACTGGCTTAGCAGTCATGATGCTTCAGGGTTTAGGGTTTAGGGTTTAGGGTTTGGGGCTTTTACTTTGAGAGTTTTGTCGGTAAATGCTTTGTGCATGCAGAACGCCAGCGCCTCAAAGAACTCCCTAGACCTCAACAGATTTGCTGCAGCAGCAGCAGCAGAAGGAGCAGCAGCAGCAGTACCAGCTACAGGGAAGGCAGCAGCAGCAGCTGGTGCAGCAGCGGCAGCACGTGCAACATTGGCAGCAGGTGCAGCAGCAGGAGAAACACAGGACTGAAGCAGAAGAGACCAGCATTCAGAGGATTAACAGGAAGAGCAGAAAAGCCATTTCTGCTGCTGCTGCTGCGTCCCTGCTGCGGCTGCTGCTGCTGCTGCTGCTGCTGCAGCTGGGACGCTCACGCTGCTGCTGCTGCTCCAGCTCTTCTTCTTGCTGTAGCCGCTGCAGCAAAGCCCTAAAACCCTCCACTCTGGTGTCTGGAGATTTGTCAAAAATAGCAGCAACACTTGAGGGGCCCCAGAACTGCAGCAGGGGCCCCCAGCCGTCAGGAGCGGATGCAGCAGTACCTGCTGCTGCTGCTGCTGCTGCTGTTGCGGTGCCTTCGGCTGCGGGAGAGGATGCGGCGGGGGATGATGGGTCCTGCAGCAGGCCAGCAAATAGACCCATAGTGCACAGCCTTAAACCCTAAACCCTGAACCCTAAACCCTAAACCCTAAACCCTAAACCCTAAGCTGCAAGACTCGGGTCTGACATGATATCCTTTGTGTTCCTCATGCGGCTCTTCCACTCCGAAGGAAGGTAGCTGCAGACAACCACGCTCGGTAAACCCTAAACCCTAAACCCTAAACCCTAAGCTCTAAGCCCCCACTTCTTATCTCTGAGCTCCACACTTTGAAGTATAGATGCAAACCGTGAAGTTCCCATGACGAGTCACCAAAGCCGCCACTCCAGCCCGAGGGTTTAGGGTTTAGGGTTTAGGGTTTACTTTCTGGTTGAGACACCGCAGCAGCTCCTCCTCAGTGACTTCGTCGTCAGAAGCATCCAAAGGGTCTGTGTCTCCCTGCAGCAGCAGCGCAGCAGCAACAGAGCGCCGCAGCAGCGCAGCAATGCTGTGCAGCTGCTGCTGCACTGCAGCAGCAGCAGCAAAGTCGTCTCGCGCAACAGCAGCTCTGCAGGCACACAAACCCTAAACCCTAAACCCTAATCCCTAAAGCCACCATTTTCTGGTCCAGCATTTGTTGGTTACGAAAAGCTAAGTACCAGAGCTAAGACTAGGGACACTGGATCTAGGGTTTAGGGTTTAGGGTTTAGGGTTTAGCTTAGTTCGGTGCTTTCTCAGCGCTGCGGCTGAAGACCAGATTTCATTCTAGGGTTAAGCTCGAAGATTTAGGGCTTTGAGTGCAGCTCGGGATGAGGGTTTATCTCTAGGGTTTAGGGTTTAGGGTTTAGGGTTTAGGGTTTGCGGACTCCTTCTTGGCCTCCAGGGCCTGCACCTTGGGAATTGCTTCTAGGGTTTTGAGCAGCGCCTGACTAATGCGAGCAGCACTTGTGAACTGTTCTGCTGCTGCTCTTTGCTGCTTCGCCTGCTGCAGCAGCTGCAGCTGCTGCAGCAGGAACGCGCTGATTCGCCCGTGGCCCAGGCGCTGCAGGGGCTCCTGCTGCTGCAGCTGCTGCGGCTGCAGCAACAGCAGCAGCAGCGCAAACACAAGAATCAACTTATTTCCGAAATCCCCGCATCTAAAACCAAAACCTTAAACCCTGTTTCTCTTCAAAGCCTCGAAGAAGGCTCTTGCGGACTAATTGAAGGAGCAGCAGGTGCACTGGAGGCGACAGCAGCAGCAGCAGAGAGGCCTGTTGCAGCAGCAGCAGCAGAGGCCAACAGCGGCAGCAGCAGCGGCAGCAGCTGTAGTAGGCGAAGAAACAGTGTTCGAAACAGCAGCAAGAGCTGATAAGGCAGCAGCAGCAGCAGCAGCAGCAGCAGAAACAGCAGCAACTTGCCAGTAGCTGCTGCTGCAGCAAAATTCTGAGGCCTGGGCAGCATATTCCAGGGGCAGGACAGCCCCCAAGCCTTAGGGAGCGCAGCAGCATCTGCAAAAGCCAAAACGCAGCAGGCACTGCTGCTGCTGCTGCTGCACCAGTAGCAGCAGCAGATGCAGCAATAGAGGCAGCAGAGACTGCTGCTGCTGCAGCTCTGCTGAACAGCAACATCCACCTCACCAACACCCCTTACTCAGCAGGAATCGCTGG